AAATGGCGACCCAGAGGAGGTTTTTGTATCCAGCGGTTTTCGTGAAAACAGTACGTGGGGGATTCTCAGTCTCGCGGGCTCACACGATACTTTAATTTCTTACCTCGATAATCTGCACTTCGTCATCCTCCGCAAATAAACTCAAGACATTCATTAGTAAATTAAGCCATCTAAAACGTACAGGAAGCCTTCTTGAAAGCCACGACAAAGCAAAATAATAGGATGCAAATAGATTCTATGCAACTTACCATCCCATGCGCACGCCGACGCCATTTTTACAATCTGCGACACTCGGGCTATCTGACCCCGTTGGTATCGGGCAGCGGTAAAACCAAAAATTGCGGAAGAAAATGGCGTGAGTTTGTTGTTCACGTAGCCGTAGTAGGCGCGAGCAGTCGTCTTGTTTAGCAGCACGCAAAGTTTTGCGGATACTGGCGATATATTCGTTTGTCAGTCTTTATAGTACTAGCATAGAAATTTTATTTGTATCTTGGAAGCACTTTATCCGGTCGCCTTTCGAGCTTCATGGTAAAATGTGCAAGACGGAGTGATGGTAGGGGACTTAATTATTTGTTTGCTTGCGTTTTTTTATATATTTAATTCTTTTTATTTATTTTTTTTTATTTAAAAAAAAGAGGGGTCCAGAAGGGAGGGTCCACGTTTTGTCTACACCCGGTTGGGTCAACTATATGATTGTGTGGGTTAGTGCTCTCTGATGAAATTTGTTTGGTATCTTCTTTACAAAACTACAGGAGCATTTTATGTATGGTTAAAAGCACTATTCAATGACTTTGTTACAGAATTATTTTAAAAAAAGCAATATTCTCGTGATATAACCCCTTTAGATACAATTAATTTCTTGAAGCTTACTGCCACATGTACACGCTTTTGCAGCTTGTAAAGACACCAATCCTTTGTGTGAACGTTATGGTACGCCTGACTATTGCAGGCAACATCCAGACGACATGGCAGTACGGTGTCCTAAAACATGCTACATGTGTCCTTACTAAATCTTCAGGTAAATCATACAGTGTGCATGAGCTATTCCGAAATTGTCAGGGCGTGTTATAGGTTGCGATAATATAAAACTAACTTTTCATGTGATCGCCAGATCCCTTGCCCTACCTCCTAAACGCTCGGGAGATTTAAACAATCTAATCGTGAGACAAAAAACGAACAATTTGCTCTCGAAACGAATTAGGTTTCATCCTTGGCGAAGTGAGGCTCCGAGTCGCAACAGTATAATTAATAATATATAGTTTACTTTGCCAGGTAGCTTTGCCAATTACTTTCATTGCGTTAAGTTAAGTTGTTAGCAAAGAAACTGCTTCTAAATAAAAGAATTACCACAGACAAATATGTCAGTCTCCCGAGCGTTACAAATGCAACAATAATGAACAGCTTGTTGCAATAGACCTCAAAATCACTCTGTGTGTTAAATGTCCACCGAAATCGGATTTTCTAAGGCAAGTCGTCCACCTTCTGCATTTGCGAAAAACTCCGTTTTCGTGAACAAATTGTGTCGAACACTCCGCTCCATACTTTAGCATTTTCGCGTCGTTTCCGACCATGCGCACTAAGCCATTTAGGCCCGGTTCAGACGCCGAACTTTTCATGAGCCAAACCTAATTCGAATTAAGACCGACCCAAATTATTTAGACCGGCTAAAGTGATTCAGACGCCGATCTTAATTCCAGCCGAACTAGGCGAAAAATGCGCATTTCGGTCAAACTGCTCACAAAATACGTTATAAGAATTTCTGCATTTGGTTCGGTACATGAAAAGTACGGCGTCTGAATCAAAGGCGTTCCAAAGTCGATCACAAGGCGAAATTCCCGGCCGGGCTAGGCGAAAAGAACGGCTGAACCGTTCCAAATTGAAACAGGCGTTACTAATTGATTCAGACGCCGAACTTTTCATGTACTTAATTCAATGTATTAGGTTCGGCTCATGAAAAGTACGACGTCTGAACCGGGCCTTAGTGTATCATGTAAACATTTCATACATTTGATTTAAGTTTCCCTTCTCTTCTGCGTTTACCACGATGAAGAAAAAGAAATTTTGACCATTGTCTGGACTGATGAAGTCAAATCAGGGCAACAAAGTGTTCGAAGCAACTTCTTTACTCTCAATCGTTTTTACTTTCGTAGAAACCAAGATAACGACTGCTCAGCACGGAAAACGGACCGGGACAAGGAAATCATTTTTATTTAAGGCTTTACTGATTGAATAAACACGGTGACTTACGTGCATTAAAAGTAAAATAATATGCCTGAAACAAGTTTGCTTGGTATATTTAAAATGGAAAATTAAGGGCATTTGCATTACAGAGTAGCATACACGAAAAACAGTGAAATAAAATGATTGAAATAACTTAAAAACTGATGGAGTCAACTTTAAATGAAGATATGGTCGTGGCAGTGGAACGTGCAATTAACCCGGAAAAACATTTGGGACTCCAATGGGATTCGAAGCCATGGCCTCTGTGCATGCGTTAGCGCTGCTGTGCTCTAACGAATTGAGCTATGAAGACCCATACATTGGAAGCAGGCCAATTTGTTCAGTTCATCTTAATCCTTGAGACGAATGAAACTTAGAACTAGGAATAATTGCAGATTAGGGGAGTGCTTTCGATGGGGAGGGGGTGGGGTGGTGGGTAGTTAGTGGTAGTGGGAAAGGGGTACAAAACTTGATAGGCTTGTAATATTGAGAAACTATCAAAAATCTAACACTTTTATTAATACGAATATCAGCAGCTGTCTTTATCAGTGTTATTGTTTATCCTCCCACTTCACAATTCGTGACTATTTCGTTTTTTTCTCAAAAATGCAAGAGCGTACTGTACTTTTTACATTTACTTAGCTAAACCTCTAAGTAAAGTACATGTAAGTAACAACAGGTCAAACACTGACTATGATCCTCAGGATATTCCTTTGCACTCTAGGATGGTCGATAAAATTGGCTAAAAATTGTGATACAGAAAAACTAAGGTTATCTGAAAAGTTTAAGCGTCGAGTAACACTTTAAGCCCTGTTTGCGTGACACTAGGCTAACACGACTCACCTCATTCAACGCACCCGGAATTAGTGAGATGAAAAGGTCAACGTTTCACTGTTCAAAAATGGTGACAAGCAAAAGCAAATACAACGCTGTAAATAGCTTTTAAAAGCGAAATATGTAACTTGTAATAGAATTAAATATGGTCGATTTAACTGATCTTGCTTGAATCCATAAAATCAAATACAGTGTGCAGAGCGCATCGTTAACATAATATCTACATATCCGATTATCTTAGAATGGAAATTTTCCTATATAAAGAAAAACTTAATTGAAAACTGCGAGAAAAACTGTAAACAAAACTGTAGTAAAGAGAAAATCGCCAACGTTTCATCTGTGAACGAGTGTCACTAAATAGATACCAGCTCCCAGGTGAGAAAAACTGAACACAGGAGATCGAGGCAAAATATGCCAGGCCGGTCTAAGATGGCGTCCAAACCGTGAAATCGCCTGGCATATAGAACGGTTACTACTTCATGTACGGTACACAAATAGGAAGCGTTCTCCTTCGTCGAAACGCAATCATGATTTGAACTTCGAAATGCAAATTTAAATGAAGATATGATTGTACGTATGTGTTTGGCTTGTCAACACTTTGACTTCAACAGCGCCGATTGGATCTTCGATAATCTGCATGTGATCTCCAGCTGATATTTGCGAACAATGGGAAAGGAATTTATCTTTCGGTTCAGCGGGCGTTCGTGGGACAGGAACGCGTGACGAACCCCTAAGAACGTCTGCGTGGGAGGCTACAATACTTCTAAATAACAAAATTACCAAAGAAAAATATGTCAAAATTCCAACGAATCGTGAAAGACGTGATGCAGTAGATTTCAAATTTCTCTGTATGCTAAATGCCTAGGTACATCGGATTTTCTAAGACCAGTTGTTCACGCTAATGAATTTGCAAAAAACTTTGTTTTCGTGTTAACAAAAACGCATCAAACACCCCGCCTCCATTGTTTTCGACCGTCTGCACTTAGCGCATCATGTTAACATTTTACAAATTTAGTTGTAAAGTGAAAACAAGGTTGTTTTCTACTGCGTTCACAGGAATAAAGAAAACGATGTTTTGACCATCCTCAGGACCCTCCTATCTAAACCCGGGCGGGGGGGGGAGGGTTACCCAGATTTTTTTAATCATAATCAGCTTATTTATCCTCAAACTTCTTACTTTCGTAGAAGTCAAGAAAACAACAGTAGAAAATGACGGGAACAAGGACATGATTTTAAGGCTTTATTACACAGACACGATAACTTAATATAAAAGTGAAACAGTCTGCCTGAAGCTTAAGTTTGCATGGTACGGTATATTTTTTAAATGGAAAATTGTAAGGGCATCGCATTACAAAGTAGGATAAACAAGTGAAAAAAAAAGACAAACTTAAAAGGTGATTGATGGAGTCAACTCTGTTTTATTCCCCTCGTTTCTTGGACGTGAATAATTTCCCAAAAAAAGCATTTAACGGTCTGTGTCATCAGTGTCCAAACAGCGCTCACAACATAATCATTATTGTTATATATAACCAAGCCAAAAAGTGGAGTTCCGTTAACACATTCACACCTCAACTGCCGGGAACCTCCTATGTGACTGATACGTCCCTTGGAACATCTATGACATGATCAGTTTTACTGTTACGTTAAATTGCGCAGAAGAAATAAAACACAAACTTTGGGATATTGGCGAAAACATTTCTCACTGAAATAATACTAGCCTGGCAGTAAATCTCCAGTAAGAGAAAAGAAAAGCAACAGACCGAGAAAAATGTCTGTCTTTGAGGATAGGTTGTTGTAAGACGATCCCAAAAAATTCCTTTTTATTAAAGTAAGATTGTTTAAACTTGACACCAAATACAGTTGCAACGTCTATGCAGTACCGGACAAAAGTACTGACCAAAAAAATAACCTTACAAAAGCCTTTCAATTATTTTCTTTTTCCTTTTTTAACAGAAAATTTTTGGATGAAACTTAAACTTCTCGTTGTATTTATCCTCATACTTAGCGAAACACTTGGCCGCGTCAGCGTCACATTTACACAGCCCGTAGAGACACTCCCCATTTTGCTTGTAATGAGAAGCCGGTTCTGAAAAGTAGAAGATATACTTGTAGTAATTACGAAGAAGAGTTTTTGTGCGAAAGGGAAGGGGAATAGGGAAGATTTCACTGCATGGTCATTCACGTGATTTAGTGAGGTTTAAAAATAGATCCCATTCCACGCCACTCGGGATTTCTGGTGTTGGTCCCGCAAGAAAAAGTTCTCTTTTTGGCCAAGTCTTGTATACCCTGAAGAAGGCAGCATTGCCGAAACGTCGGTTAAGATTCTTATAATAACAGCGCCAGTTTTACAATTTTCAAATTTACATTAAGTACTACGCTGCACAGGTTTTTCAATCTTTATTTACATCTAATAGATCGCATGATCGCAGCCTTACTTACCACAAACCGTGCATTCTTTGAATGAATAAGGCCTTACGTAGATTGTAAGAGGCAACTGCTGATCGATAACGCCACAAGCGCCAGATAGCCGGAGACTTTTGTAGCAATTATCGTGATCTCGACAGCAACTGTACGAAGCAAAAAAAATCGATGATAACTAATAGTCAAGACCTCTTTCACGACTCCCGCCATCTTTGTGGGCATCAAGGGGAAAACAAGTGATAAAATTTGGGAACACGAATAATCGCTGTCCATTTAAAACAAAAAAAACGAGAAGACAATTAAATAGTCATACAAAATGCACAGTTCGAGTTTCGACAATAAGTACGTCATTATTGCCTGCTGTGAGGGCATCTGCTGTCGCTCCTACGTCCAAAAAGATAACATTCTTGATCACTTCCACCTGTCCACCCACAATGGGCTACTATCGTCTTTACTGGATGAAAAGTTCTTCATTTTCTGTTGTCTATAATAAACAACCTTTACCGCGATTTCTTGCACTGGCAAATTTATTCACTTTTTTGCCCCCTGTAAAACCACTTTTATCCCACATTGCAACAGCGGTAATGATTATCCCTTATTTCGACGACAATATTGCATGGCTTTAGGTTTTCGCGCCAACAAACAGTCCCAATAATTTCCATGATATATGCTCTTTTTTCCGCTAATAAGTTTGCTTGTTAAACCTTTTGTTTTTTAGAAGGTTTTTGTTGCCGTCGCGTCGATGAATCTTTGAGTCCCTATTGCTCCACGAAGTCGCAAAATTTCACAAAAGTGGGGAATGAACTTGCCCCTCGCTACATAAACGTCTGTAGAATTACTTGACTTTGCAAGGCTGTATTATCGTTAGTTTTCAACAAATCACTTTCAAACTTGGTCATTTTAGTGATTTTAGGCGTTCATTCAGCCGTGTTGACGAATTTTTTGCTAACTGGTCCCGGCTGAAAGATGAAAAAATCGTGGAAGGAGTCTATGGCCGCGAGAACGTTTTCGATGGCTTAAATATAAGTGAAGGATTTAACTGAAACCAGGCAACGACTCTAGTATGGCAGGAGCCCATACTAGACTCGCGAGCACGTGTGCTGACTGAGCTTCGATACATACGTTTTCAAAACCGTGTTAGTGTAGATAAGATCTCAGTCGTTGTTTGATTACCTGTCCACTTCATCAAGAGGTTTGCCTTTTCCTCCGAGACCACACCAGCAGCCATAATTATTAAAGTCAAATGGATTTCTGCTAGCCTTGCATTTGATCATTACAAAAAACCCAATCAGTCCTCTTTTTCTTGACAACATTCCTGCAAAAAAAGAGGCACTGTCTTTCAGAATGATCAAAGCTGGAACCGGCACAAGGGGTCATTCTGTACATAGCATGTGTCACAGGGGAAAGAAGTGCAGCAAACCTGCGTGTCCCAAAATACTGTGTTCACGAGGTCCAAACGATAATAGGGAGCTTAAGCAACAACGTTTTTGAGCGACGCACGTCAACCGGAAGTGGCCTTTTTTCATTTTTTGACGGTGGTTTCCCAAAATCGCCGCTATAACAGTAAAGAAGTGTTTTTATATCATCAAGGCATGTTAAGAGGGAAAATACCTCACTTCCGGTTGACGTGCGTTGCTCAAAAACGTCGCTGCTTAAGCTCCCTAATAAGTAAGTGCCTCTCATGCGTCAGGGGCTACCGGGATGAAAAGAGGATCGTCCCCAAAAATTGAGCAATCGCCGTACCGGGCAATCAGTGATACCGGCATAAATCAGGCCTAACTTAACGGTCACGTGAGGCGAGGACAAAATAAAAACAAAAGTTTTCAACAACATCTTTTTATGATGTTTTTTTTCTGAATCACTGCTAAGTATATTTTTTACTTATGTTTTAGAACAGCAAAAAACTAAATATTTAAAACATACGGCAAAGAGTCGTAGATAAAGTCTCAGAATGAAACACACCCGCCTCCCGCTCCCCGCCCCGCTCCCCACCCCCCACTCCCTCCTAACACCACGATAGCCACCACTAACATGTCATGTCTTTCACAATTATACTTGTCGAAGGAAATTGAAATCCCCTCCTATATTTCTTTGTCTCCGTTTTGTTCAATTGTTAAGAAGCTGGCATGCTTACCGTTTGCACTTTGTTGAACGTCTTTGAGAACCTTGCCCTGAAAAAATAAACAAGCGTTGTCATATTAAAGGAATTTGATGGAATTATCTCGTTCTCAGCCTCCCTTCGTTCCTATAATGGAGGCTTAAAATCCTTGGGACAATTATTGAAAACCTATCTTCGACAGCGGTAACATATTAAATATCCAAATGTAACATAATATTCACTTTTGCAATAGTTCGGATGCCCCTCATGGCCCTCCCCTCCCCTCCCCCAAAACAATGTTGGGATAGACAAACACTTTTCAGGACAGGGTAAAGTGGAAAGGGTGCTCAAAATACAACACCGCTTGGGGGTGAGGAGGGAGGAGAGTTTAAGCCGCATCGCGTCAAGTGTCCCAAGAATTTTGTCAGCCATTGTAGACTTTCCTCTCCTTATTGATTTCCAAGAACTAAAGAAACCCTCACAACGATTGTCAACGATGCTGTCAGTTTCCCCGTTTTAAATACAAGAGGGTGAATACGGCCAGAGGTTAATCCATCAGGCCCTATCAAATTCGTTTTCCCTCTTAAGCCATTTTTAGATCTCTTTTGAGAAGTGAGAACCCTGATTCCCAACAGGTTAGTTAAATAGCCAAGTCACGTTTTTTACCCGTTAACAGCTGAACAGATTCTCTCGCAATTTCAGTCTTCGCGTTATTCGCGAACTGACCGTCGAGCAAAATGGAGGAACAAGTGGGAAACGCCAGCGCTTGCATATGTTTAATAGTAAACAAACAGAATGCGTCAAGAATGACAATTTCCTCAGCCAGGGCGATCAAGCAAAACAATTCGGTTTACGTCACGGTGTTATGAGCGCACGAAACTTGATGATTTTGTCACCGTTGGATGCGCTTCCTCAACAGCCCACAAAATGAATCTAAACTTGTGTTCTTCTGCTATGACTCGGGGTTTTCATGTTGAAACGATTTCGACTCGGATCAGGTTTAAAACTTATAATTCCTATTCTCATTTCGAATTCATTAGTATTTTGGAATTTCCTTCCTACAAATCTTTCACGTGTCGCGAGGTAAGATGTTGATCATTCCCGCTGGAAAATCGGCACCGTCAAAAAATAACATAAGAGGGGCAACTATGGGGATCAGGGACCTATATGGGGATTAACTCTGTCCTTTTATCCTCTCTTGATACGATGCAAAGTAAGTCAGAATACCAAAATAAAAATTAATTTGGGGCATTGATATTAACCATATAATAACTAAATAGATAGGCGCCTTTAACTGTCATAAATCAAATAATAATAATAATAATAATAATAATAATGTGTGGAATTTGCAACTAACGCCAGGAAACAGTGGACCACCAAGTCTCAGGATGTCCTGAACGTGTCAAAACAGAGTACGTACAAAGACATAATAAGGCAGCAGCATACCTCCAATGGGCAATATGCCAGCACTATGACATCAAAGTGCAAGATAAATATTACGAACATGAGCCATCGACTGAATAACTCAAACCAACGCAGTGACTATACTGGGACATGCCAGTCCAGTCAGACAAAATGATTAAGGCAAACAGGCCAGACATAGTAGTGACAGACAAGGAGAAGAGGACCTGCCTGCCCATTGATATATCTGTCCCCAATTTAAAAAAAATACCTCTTTAAAAACAGAAGAAAAACTTTCGAAGTACAAGGATCTCGAAATACCGGAAATTGAGAAAACATGGAAACTAAAAACGACCACTCGGTCTCGGTGGTCATTAGTGCTCTCTCGCTTGTCAAGAATTAGCCTGTTCCAGGCTCCGAGATGGAGAAAAAATGCGAAAAACGCGCGGGGGCTGGGGAGAGACAGGGCGGCGCCCTGTCTCTCCCCAGCCCCCGCGCATTTTTCCCGCAGCCACCACTCCCTTTCCCAAGTCGCGCGCGTCTTATTTTCGCTTTGCTCGTTTTAATACGTCCCCACTATACTATCTGAGAGCCTGGCACAGGCTAGTCAAGAATGGGACTGAAAACTACATCAGCCAGATCCCGGGAACCATCAGAATAACAGAGCTTCAGAAGATTGTCCTCCTTGGCACTGTTCACACACTCAGGAGGTCACTATCCATCACTGTAATCCACGAGTCTTATGACTGCCCTAAGTTCATGGAGTGAACTCGGCTCCATAAGAGGAAAGAGCACGAGTCCAAGAGAATTAATAATAATAATAATAATAATAATAATACATCAGTAATCATGGTACTGGTACGGAAGGACGCGTTGAATAAAGTAAGCAAATGCACTTGACGCATCATTACTTTTCCCGTTAATTTTTCCCCAACCTCTCAAACATTCTTGTTGTATTGTTGATCGAGCTTGGTGGACATGTGGAGCTCGATGAACCTGTATCGAGCTCGATTGCCCACTTACAGATAACTAATATGATCCTCTTTGACACACGTTGTCTTAACACCTGTTTCTAATTTTTGAACAGCTAATCTCGAACGATCAAATCCAGAACATAGTTACGTTCTGATTCAAACTTACAGAAAACAATCAATTTGCAACATGCATCAGAACATCGCACCAACTACGCTTTACAACAACACAAACTTACCGATGTGCAATGAAGGGAGAATATAAAGTCACTTAGCACAAGAAGGTGAATAAATCGAGTAATCATTTTTGCCGTTTTAAGGAGCCTGACTGACACCCAAGGAAATTTTTAAACAGTGCGTGCGAGGGGCGCGCTTGAAATGCTGTATCTGCTCGAGGCAGTTTTTAATAAATCACTGATAATACCGACAATGTCAAGTCTTTATTCAAATCATAGTTAATAGAGTGGAATTGACATAAATACCGTCAGGCTTCTTTGTTCTATGTTTTTGTGGACTTGAAGGCGCCCAAAATTCAATAGCATTCCTTTCTTTTTGATCTTACTGACCAATGAAAACGTCGCATTAATATTTTATTCCGTTACAATGTGTTAACAAAAAACAAAGGATTGGGCGTGCACCGTCAGGCAACTCCCGACGTAAACTGTAACAGTATTGATTTGATCTTTGATGTTTATCCGGGGTGTAGCCAGCAATTTGACTTGTTAAGGCTTAGCTGTTTAAGGGTGGGAGTTTTGTTTCAAATGTCCTGAAAAATGCTTGTCTATTAACTCTGTTCATTGAACGCATGACTATTATTAGATAGTTACGCACTTAGCCTCACGTAAACTTCGCCCCAACAATACATCGTTTATTACAAGTGGACCCAAATGTTAGAGTGATTGTCCCTTTTCATAACAGTTTCCTCTAATTACAATATTCAAACTTCCACCAATCAGTCATTGCCCATTTCGGATTTACCTTTACTGGGACTATTTCCAAAAGGAGGTAAAGAGCGAATTATAGTCTAAGTTATCAAAACAGTTCATTTTTATATTCTCATGAAAATAGTACTTAGTTTCACATGATCAGTTTTACATCCAATGATAATAACACTTTATATATACTTGGCCGTGCGGTGGTTAAAAAATACCTCTTATAGGAATCCCTTTACTGGTTATATTTTTTCCAGGCAACCAAAAAAGGAAAGTGGTAAAAGGGTAAAAAAAAAGCATGTACAAATTAAAATAATTAGATTCAAATTGGTCTAAATGAATGCATCATTGGTCGACCTTGATGCGTCATTTAAAAACATTTTGGCAGTTTCCATAACCTCGTGGCAGTGATGGGGAACATACTTTTGCGTAAAGACGCGGTTCATTCCTCAAGACTGAGCCTAAAGCGAATATTGATAACTTTCTGGTGATAATATATATAGGATATGTCTAAGCACCGAAGCCTTTTTGAAAAAAAAAAATACTCAGCCAGAGCGTGGCGCGAGGTTATTATTTTTAAGAAGGGGAACCTTTCCATCAGTTTTAGAGCCAGCAGGTTATTATTGTTGTTGCTAACGGGAAACGGTAGGTTATTATTCCTAATGAGGCGACCTCCAGTTCCACCTCAGTGACTTGCTCTCCCATTTATTGAAAATAATAACCTGTTCAAAACAATGAAAGGCAAGGCGTATTAAAATAGAGAAAACAAGAGCTAACTTTTATCGACCCACGGTTCGACATCTTTCTTCGGCACAAAGCAGGAGCAACTTAAGAAGCAAAAAAGGAGTGGTCACCTAGCTACGCTTCTTGAGGAGATTCAAAAGGTAGATCACCTGAAACGTGGTAATCACGCAACGAAAATATGATTATTCAGGTTTCACTTAAGTTAGTGTAGCAAACGATAATCGAACATTACCGTGCTCCGAGTTTCTCTAAAATGAAATCTAACCAAGACCCACGCAATTTAACTACGAACCACGCTGTTCAATCAATGCTCGTAACCACTCCAGCAGCTTCCATGACTATCACGCGTGCAGATCAACGAACAATACTGAACGTCAAAATGTTACATCTGTTGCACAGTTGAATAGTAAATTCTGTGTATCCGATTTAGTTATCTAGCCACAGGCTTGGAAATGGCAAAGTCATGCGCAACTCAATCATCTATTTCATTTTGTTAAAAGAAATGCATGAATGCGTCATTGATCGGCTGTGATGCAGGAGTCATTTAAAAAAAATGTCACTTAACTTTCCCGGCCCTTGTCGTTGTAGGGGAGAGCATTCTTTTGTGTTGAACGGGTGCTGTCAGTAGGATGATTTACCCAGCCGCGAATGATTGTTTTCTGAAAACACAGGAAATTACCAGAGGGGAAAGAGAATCTGTCTTACTAGTATATCGCATAATATTAATAATATCAGAAGTGCATATTCATGTATTATATCAAGTAAGAAGCGCAGTGTTTCATGACCGGATGAAACACCGAGAAGAGAGTTGAAAATACGACGCGCAGCGAAGTATTTTTGTTATGACGAACTTCGAGGTGTCCAATGCTTGATACTACTTCTCACATATAAAGATTTTAGAAAGAGAAATTAGGGGATGCAAGAATGACCAGTTTTTCACCTGATTTTCAAACACTTATTAAACAATAATTTCCTTTGTATTTTCTTTATGAATTATTAAATGAGTTTGAGAACCAATATTGAAAGCTTCCAAACCCATTTATTAAATGACCTTGATTACCACTTTGATATATTTAGATTTAACGAAACAAAGATCACTACCTGCATTGAATTAGCACTTGATCCAAAAATTCCAGGCTATGACTTTCATGGTGCCCGATCACTCCTTTGAGCACAGGCGGGGTTGGATAATAGTTATAGTTCACGTAATATGTCTAGAACGAGGTCGAGTGCTTCATCACGGGTTCCAAACACTAAGAAACAGATGAAAGCACGAGGTCGTAGGCCGACCGCTTTCATCTGTTTATTCGACGTGTTTGGAATCCGTGATGAAGCACGAAGCCCGAGTTTTAGACATGTCCTTTCAAATGAAACAATAGAAAACTGTGCAGTGACATGCTTTCCCTTGTATTGCTTTGTTTCCATGAGTTCGTTGTTAATAAATAAAGCATTTCATTAAAATGCAAGTGTTTGATCTCAGACGAAAAATATGTTTCATCTCAGATGAAAACCTAGTGGTTTTTTTGTATCTGGTGTTTTATTAGAAATCAAAATTCATCCACCTAATCCAAATGGTCGTCCTTTATTGGCTTTTGACAACATGAATAATTAATGAGTTTTAGAATTAAACATGAATCACTAGATAAGACATTTACTGAGGCATTTCATAGCCTTATCGTAGACAGACAATTCAAATTGGCCCGCTAATATCCGATAAATGTGACATTACGTGGGTTGTACCACACGAAGCTGTATTAGGCCCCTTCAGTTAAGCCGTGATGTCATTGGTCTGTGATGTCATCTCCCAGTTAAGCGGTAATGTTTTTAGTCGTCTGTCAGTTAAGCCGTCAGGTAATTGGTCGTCTGTCAGTAAAGCCGTGACGTTATTGGTCGTCTGTCGGTTATTGGTTCGGTCTGTCAGTTAAGCCGTGATGTTATTGGTCATCGATCTCTCAGTTAAACCGTGATGTTATTGGTCGTCTGTCAGTTAAGCGTTTGCAAACTCCACCGAATTGGAGTTAACAATTACCGGCACCTTACAAATGACTTATAGACGCACTCAAGCAAAACTAACTACGATAGAATGATTGGACAACCAACAGTTTGAATAACAATAAACGAACGTTATAACTCTGACAAAACACGGATCAAAATGCACCAATCACATTAAGGGTCTTCATAGCCAATAACATGACGGCTAATAACTCAGTGACAGCGAGAGATGACCAATGGCGTCTCCACTTAAAGAAGTCGAAAGAGGGATTTGTGGTCACACCTGGGAATCATCGTGAAGCGCCCTGATCTGGTCTGCGGATGATTTTAATTTCCTTCGCGAATTTAAGGGTGACCGCTGGCACATCAGAATTAATTAATTTTATTGCTAGAAACCTTCATTTTCTGTGCACTTCAAAATTGAGAGGAAAGAAAGAACTGGCTTGTATTTGGCAGGTTTTGTTTACATGCCAAAAGTCTAATAAAATAAGGACAAAACAGACCTGCCAGAGTCAAGAAAATGTGACATTAAAAACTAGGCATTTTCTGGTTAGATGATTAATATTGAAAATTGAGACTAAGGGGATCTAAAAATATATTTATAAATGCGCATCTGAGAAGCCAGGTTATTATCCTTTTTTTGTTTTTGTTTTTCTACTTTTAAGGACGGCTGGCATTTTGTCAGGAAAAATGGTTCATTTAAACCGACTAGCAATCTAAATGTCATAAAATGTAAATGCTGTCATTCTTCCGAAAACGATTCGACAATAAAGTTATTTTCGAAACGAAAACCTGCTTAGTCAGTGGATACAGCGAAAATTAATAGTTCCTCCGATCCAATTCAATTAATTCACCACATGAAAATTTGTGTTTTGCAGGTTTTATCCATTTTTTAATCTTTTCTTCAATTGTAACCTTCAACAAAGATAACCAAATGAATTATAATGGCACAAGACAAAGGAAGCCATCATACGTTTCAACGAAAGGATGGCAGATTGTGGTATAAAAGGTGCAATGTTTTACGTCAAGAATGCTACTCTGATGCGAGCAATAATCGACTTCTTCCGTCGTTTGAAACAGCTTTTCTTGGAAGAGAAAAGATATTAACTCGAAGGCCAAGGATTGTACGTGGATTGTATCTTGGCAAAGAACCATTGGAATATCAAAAAATCCCAACTCCGTTTAGATTTAGCTTTCAACAAGGATATAATGATATCACAGACCAAGAAAAAAACAAGGCCAAAAATTTCCAGGGAAGAATAATTTACTCACAAAGCATGACTGTCACGCTCTGCAGTTTACAAACAAAGCAGGTGAATCGTGGACAGTTTAAGCGTGACAGAGTTGTGTGGAAAGGTGATGCTGTTCGACGTACTAGTAATTCGGGCACGAACCAAAACTGGTGGAAGAAAGAGCTCCCGTTATCATGCACTAAGAAGGCGAAGCAGGAGGCGGACAAGTTAAGGTTGAATGCTAAAATTTCACGACAGTTACAAGAGAAAAATCTCGTACAAACTGACGAGGAAGAAGCGCTTAGAGGCGAATATCAAAAGAGGACGAGGCAAAGTGTGGAGGGCAGTGATACAAGATCCTATCAAGTTCAAGAAATTGACAGTTACTTCTCAAGAAAGACTCCAGTAGAATTCTATTTGGAAAATTTCATTTTCAAACAAAGCGACTATGACATTTGGTCTCGATCGAACGAAAAACAAAATCAGGAAGAAAACTGAAGTCACTGTTGCTTCCATAACTTTGTCACAGTGCTGTTAATCGAGGCTAGTGTTCTTGTTCTTGTCGTTGTGCGAAAAAAGAGCTAACTGATGTTTGTGACCCATGAAATAGAATGATATATGCAACTCTTCGCATGGAGCCATATTGTCTCGGTTTCAGACAATTCTATTTCCCATTTGGCACCCTGTTGAATTAAGACCCCTTATTTTGTAACCCTGTTTCAGAGGGCAACCCAAATTTCACCCCTTGTTTAATACTATAAAAAATGTTGTTCTTTCGAGTAACTAGAGAACCAGGAAAAATCTGAAAAGATAAAAAATATGTAATACTTTTAATTTTCGTAAGTATAAGCGATATCTGTTAAAATATACGGACGCACTGACACCACCAGTGCCACAGTCTACTATTAAGCTACATTCCTTAACCTAACTTCACACTGTTGGAGACCCTAAATAGTGAATATGTAAACCCTGTTTAAGGCAAAAAAACCCTGCAAACCATATCCTCTACAGCCGCAGACCCCTGTTCAGTCTAAGTAAGGAAGCCTAGCTTCCACGGTCCCACTTTTCGTCCGAATTTTTCAGTTTGAGCATGAACTTAGGGCCAAATACAAAAATAAAATGCACGAGTTTCAAAAAAAAGGAATTATTAGGGGCGAAGCCTTAGCCGAGGTGCCATACTTTTTGTACAGATTTCAAAACATTGATATGTGGCTTGAAACATCACTGGGAAACCTTGCGGCTAGAACGTGAATAAGCTAAATCATCAAACGATTCTATTTCGCTTTCATAGAAGACACCTGTCTCTTAGTTATTTTCAGTTCAGTCAAAACAGTACTTATAGACTTGTTATGTAAATTTTCACCTTCAATTAACAACATTTGTTCAATCGCAGACGTATCTGATGTATTTCCTTTCGAAGGACTGCAAAATGCAAATTTCTACCAGAGTCTCCCTGAGATGATTGAAACCAACAATAACTATCCACTTTGCGCGTTATCTTGTGCGTCTGAGCTGACAATGATCCAAAACTCAATTCACTTCCGCCTCAGGCAGTGATGCCGGGAAGTTGCTGTACATAGGTTTTTCTTCTCGTTTTTTGTTTTTTTTCTCTACTTTATTTTAATACAAAATGATATGGAAAACTTGACTGAATTTTTGTACTTCCGGGTGGTATGCGTTTCTGCTTTCGCGACCATTTGTTGTAGTCGCTTGGTTCGTAAGCGATCGCTCCGAGGGCTAAATGGATCTGACCAGTGTTTTTGTCCACCACAGTGGGTAGTTTAACTGTCGAGTTAAAATAATGTTTTTGTTTTCCTCTGCTTTTCAAAAAACAGGCATTAAGCGGCAAAAGAAATTGATTGTTTATATGTAAGCAATTTGCCGAGTTTGGCGAGTTTTGATCCATTTTTCCTGGGGATGGATTAATATTATCCATAGTCGCCAAAGCCGTCCCTGCTTGATTTTTTCTCTTCTTCTGTATTTGAGGTAGATGTTCTTGGTTACCGGGATTCCATAAATCGTTTCGTTTGGCATAAAATATCCGCCTCAAATAACGTTTTCCGGTAGGTTTTTCTTCTTTTTTGCAATTGAGTGTCAGGACGCTAGGAAGATTGTTCTCCTCGCTTTCACTATCAGCTTGTTCAACAACCGGTACTTTTGCAGAGTTCTCAATATCTGGTTTACTTGGCATGGAATCTGAGCCGCTGTGGGGTAGTGGTTTCATTTCGTATAAACACTCCATAATACAATCCTCCTGATTGTCACCGGCTTCGGCTCTTGTCAATTTTTTTTCTGCCCATCTGTCTTCTTTACAGCCACAGATGCCACTTTTACTGCCTTCATCTAATTCGACTGGACGCAAACAAGGCTTTCGTTTGTGGTCGTTAGAAGTTTGTTTCAAATCGTTAACTCCTAACGCCTTTAAATAGCAGTGGGGATGAGTTGAACGGCATTTTTGCCTGTCTGTATCTGCAAATCCCTTAGTCCTTAGAGTATTGATGTAACTTTTCTTGTTTCCATTAACGCCTCGCAGAGAGTCGTTCAAATCCAATACTCTGACGTTGTTGCTACGTTCAGAAGCGTTGGGATGAATCTCTTTCCAGCTGAAGGTAATTGCCTTCGTGCGCGAAAATATAATATTTTTCGCCGATAATGAATTCTTTTCACCTGTCCGTTCGCTTTGATGACGCGCTATTTCTTTTTGTAGTCCATTTTCAGCTATAACGTACATGCTAGCTTTTCCAAAATCCAGTAAGCTTTTGCCATGTGCATTTCTTTCGCTCATGTTCCCTTTCCGTGCGGCTTTGTGTTATTTTCTGTAGAGTTTTTACTCTTTTAATCCAAAGTAAATGAACCAGATACTTATGCTCACTATGGTCTTTCGCTTGATATCCTTGTTTTCTATTTAGGGATTTCGTATTCGTCGCTTGTACATGACAAATAAACTCTTCCTTGCGGAGGCCTTTGTTAAGTTAATAAAAGTAATCAAAATGGCCTGCTTTGATGTTTCTAGGAAATGACGAAGTCGGTTGAAAACAATGGCAACATTATCCTGCTAAACTAAACACAAAAATGACCAGTTTCTTATGCGAAATAACCAAGTCACTTTCAGTTGTTTGATCAAATATTTGGCTTAAACAGATTGTTAAATATTCATAGCTGACAAATGTACACACATACCGTGGAAGCAGAAGGCAAATTAAAAGTACATTTATTTTCTTCGCTTCACAAGGCACCCTTTGTTTCTCCTTCACTCGCAGAACAAAAGATAATTAACAGTTCTTGTATCTGAACTGTTCACAAAGAAAAATCGAATCACACTTTCAATTGCCTGTAAAATGCTTCTAATAATGAGCGGTGGACCGAAAAAGAGCTCATTAGCTAACTTTTGAAAAGAAATTGTGCCGTTGATAATGTGTTGAAATGAGGTAAATTTTCAAAGGCGGATCTTAACTCGGAGATAATAGCTCTGTTAGGACACTAGTGTTCTTTGAAGTAATTACTCATTTTACGGATCAACCGAGCAAAACTAATCTTCTAACCTTGTTTGCTTGTTATTTTATATCGCCAATCTGTCATTTTAGTATTTCTCATTTAGAATTTACCATTTGAAATCTTCAGTGGTTTGAATATCCCAACGAAAGAGTTGTAATAATAATTTTAAATAATGGCAATCTCTGTGTGAGGCCAAAAAAAGCGAGAGACCAAACGGAACTGAACGGCTGGAAAGTAAACAGAAGGTCGTCGGCTTCGTTCCCACGGTGACCTGACCTCGAGAAACAAGTTGAAACCCTTTAAGCCCCGATATGCGCATACAAATTCTCCAAACAGATTTCTATACATTTCCTTAAAGATCTTTAAAGAATTAGTTGAGAGAATTTGAAATACTGATTCAGTACATTCGCCCTTTGGTGATCATTTTAATAAATCTCATGCTTCTAAACTGATCACATTTGTTTGATAATGCATCAAGAAAGCCTTTTTTCTAGGTCAAAAATGAAACAGACTTTATTAGCAAAAAAAAATTGAAATAGCTTCATTTTCGTATGCATTCAGCCAAGGAATAGCCCAGACCCCTTCCTTTTAATGTCCACCGTGGCCTGGTACGAAGCAAACAGGGATCTGGGTATGCTTCATGACGTAATCACTGACTCCTCCTAGAAGCGTTCTCCGCAGTGTTGAGAGCCCACGGCCCCCCATTACGATAAAACTGACTTTTTCTTCTTCAGCAATTCTGTGGATAGTCTCTCCGGCCTTACCGAACTCCACCTTGATTTTTGCCTTCAGCTGAAAAACAAAGGCGCATAATGATGAGAAATCAGTATCAACACCAACTAACGTGTATTACTAAAATCCAACTAGTGGTCTATTATCAATGCTGTGTTCTGATTGGTTGAGCTGCTACTACACTAGTAGCGAAAAGCGCGGGCTTTTTGGCGGCAAAAAAGGATTAAAGTCTAGCTTTTACCTAGCCAAATTTTTTTTTTATTCTCGATATTTTTGACCAACTAGTTGGATTTTACTAAAACAATTATTCCTCTCGCCCTCATGGCCTCTAAGTCAATAGCCCATGGCTATTTACTCAGAGCCCATTCGAACTCAAGGAATAATTGTTAAATATGACGACTGACATTACTGAGAACTTTAGAGACGATTCCCGGTACACTCAAAGCAAAACTCCATAACAATAGATATGATAAGAAGCTCTGCGACAATGAGCAAACCATTTGCTTTATTGAAAGGATGTCGAAGTCTAGTTACCGATTGTTGCGCTCAAATTCGTCGGTAATAATTGTCCACATATAAGCTCAAGGCCGCTTTTAACTTGTGTCTCTCTCCTGCGCAGCGGCCTGTTCGTGTCGTAGGGAGGCTGGGGAGAGGGAAAAAAAGAAAGCGCGCGGGAGACGATGGGAAGGGGAAAGGGTCGCACGAAAGGGGAAATCTGTTGAAGCATATCCGCTATTTTGTAAACATTGAAGAGGGTGCGACTTAGCTCCAGTATTCCTCGGAAACCCGGCGCCATCTTGAATGCATTATATGACAGAGGCCCTATCGTCCCCCGCGTGCGAGCTATTTTTAGGGACCTTAAGATCTGAGGACGACGACGGTGGCGAAAACGTCGCCTAAAAAGTGAGCTTGAGTTCTTTCAATCTTCATCGCTGTCACTGCAACTCACTTACTTTGTCAAATATAAACGAACTCTCCTGGAGTTAAATTCCTTAGAGCAATATTCAAGTTCAAAAAAAGAGAGAAATTTTTGTCGTCGTTTGTTTACTTCCTACATAAAACGTTAAATTAGGAAGTTTCAGGTCGTAGTTGTGCAGTGCTGGCAAAGAAATGTACAAAAAAGCGTGATGCACGTGCAAAATTCTTGTTTTGCTTATCAAACCTATTGCTTTTTTGAAGTTCTCGTTGCCGTCGCCGTCGTGGGATCTTAAGGTCCCTTTTATTGGATACCCAGCGGGGGCCTCTGTGGAGGAGAGAGAACTGATGATTGGGTAAACTGTTTAACGGTATGTTCTTAATGATAACAGTCAATGTTCTCACCCTTTTTTGCTCGCATTTTGTCTTGTACTTCTCAATAACCCTGTCCTTTTTTTCTTCATGTTCCCTCAAAGTTTGTTTCCACTCCTCCGAGTGCTGGGAATCTGCAAGAATAGCGATTGTTTTTCTAAAAACATTAAACTCATGTTTGCTATATGGAAGCATAACCAAAGTACCTTTCCTCTCACCATTGGCCAGGAAACTTTTCACGTGAATCACTTGCATCCTCCAAATGTGAAACTGGGATACACAGTTTGTGATGTTCATAATTTCGGATTAACTTTTGCAAAGTACAATAATTTGTTCATTTATTATAAGAAAATGCAAACGAGTATTCGAAGCATAAGGAAGACAAACAGTGACCGTTGTCAAACTGACTCTACTTCTGATCAATTTTCATACCTGTTTAAAGACTGCCTCTTAGTTACTAGTTAAAGCCGCCTCTATAATTTATATTTAACAAGCTGCAGTGACACGATAATGAGGACTACCTCTTGAGGCATAACTGTCAGTTTTTGAATGTTTGTCATAATTGACAGAGGCCAAGTTCGTGTTTTTAAAGTTTTTTAGCGAATTAATTTTTTATCTCACTTGTGTTCCAAAGTTTATCTGATTAATGAAGTATGATTTGATTGACAAAGTAAATTCAAAGCATTCAAATTGTTGTCCATGCCTTAACGTAAATTATGTTACCGCTATCGTTAAGAGGCGTAAACAAAGTGACAGTAGCCTGCATTCAGACGTCTCTTACTTCTTCAGCTTGTTGCATGAAATACGAAATAGGAAACGTCTGCACGCAGGCTCAAGTGAGAAGTGAAAACTTACGTAGCAAAGCGGGTGGATCCAGCTTCTCGTGACAATAGAGCACGATCAACGAGTTGCCATCTTTATGAACATGACTTAAATACCCTGAAAAAAATTAACACAAGCACTTAATATAAAAAAGCAACTAATAAATCTTGGGAGGACTCTATGTGAAAGGGGTGGAGATTTTCGTCGGATCGTTGGAATTAAAGCCCTAAAGAAGAGAATTCTGTCCCTCATTGAAAAAACCCGTCACTGGGCTGTTTTAGTTTGTTACCGGAGTTCGGAAAGTAGCGCAAAATGCAGTCGAATGGAGAGAGAAAAAATGCGGAAAACAGGCCCCAGGGGGAGGGGGAACAGAGAGTACGGCCTTTCTTTTGACCCCTCTATCCCTTTCCTTCTCAGTGTTTTTTCCTGCTCACGTCTCTTTGGGCGGTCCCCACTATCTGAGCACGAAGGCTCTAAACTTTCCTTTTAGCTCGTACTTAGTGATATGGTGCACATATCAGAATTTCCAAAGAACAACAGTTTCTAAGGTGAATAAATGATGAACACAAAAACCGACCCAATTTTACGCCAGTTTTGCAATTCGGCATTTACTTTAGAGGGAAAGATCGGCCCCATAAATCAAAGCGTGTAAATTCGCCATCGAGGAATCAAAATGTGTAAACAGGACATTAGCGCGCAATCCGGCTACTAGAGATTTAGAACGACCAGTTTAGCGTGCTCTGACTAGTACCAATTTGACAGGCGGAAAATAGATATACATACAGCGGAACACTGAAAGAATTTAAAAGACGCGTGACCGTGTTGGGCAACTTTTTCTTTTTTTTTCCTCTTAAATTTCATCCTTTTGTAACAATGAGAAAAACAAAAAATACTCTGAGGAGAATTTGTTTTTTCTGCTTCATCAGTTTTTATCATTTTTTTTCCTTTTTTTTATCTATCTCAAATTGATTTTCGGTGCCGTTCGTTCTAGCTTTAACAAAAGAAACAGAAAATTTAAAATTGAAGGCCACAAAGTTCAAACACCTGACACAGTCGCAAGGCTCGATATTTTTTTTTAAATTCTTTTAGAGATCATAGAGACTGTCTGGTTCTAACAACCTCCTAAATGACTGAGTGGGCGGATTAATCACTTTTGTGATCTTTTTCTTATTTAAATATTTATTACTCAAGAAACCTCGTTTGGAAAGTATTACCGCAAGCAAGATTAAATTTCCCTATATCGGATCAAAACACAGGCCGGCGGCAAAAGACTTTGCCCCTCAAAATGTTTTAATAAAGAAATATTCAATTTTCTCGTCACCGGCACAATTTGGAAAAAGCCTTTCAGCTAGAAGTTATCGAAGTTGTAGGAAAAAGCATTAAAGCATATTAAGGGAATTTTCGAGCATTTTCCAGTAAAAATATTACACGCACTATTTCAATCTTGTCACGAAATTCTGAGCGATAACGCTGTTTGAAACAAAGCACACTAGATTTACGAAAACGGACACTTAAAGTTTAATCAGTTTAATTGCATCAAATCTGGTAATAAAAAATTCGCCTTTTTAAACTCAGTGCTGCTTGCGGCAATTCCTATTTCGCTGTTTTCGTTGTTGAAGTAAAACTTTTACATGAGGACATGCATCTGCGCTTTATACCGAGTTAATAATCGTGAAAAAGACATCGTACATGGATCAGGGCTGGACGCAGCATCGAGATTACCTCCAATGTAAAATAATTTACTTGAAATATTCCTGTAAGTTAGACGACGATTGTTACTTAACCGGCAACATACGAGTAAGCCGATACATGTGTTTATTTACATTTTTTTTTTCATTTTATGCTTCCGTGTTTTAAACACTCTCCAACTGTATTACTAAATAAAATGTACTGTACTTTGGTCATATTAAGCCGTTGAAGCAATTCTCAGCTAAGTTGTTGCTTCGAAAAAACTGTTACAGGAGTTTAAATGTAGCTCCTGTTTTAAGCGCATAAATACTAGAAATTAAATCGAAATTTTGAAAATTATCCACTTTATATGCTCACGATCGCTCAATTTCAACCCTTTCCGAAAACAGCAAGGATCTATACTTTCTAGCTACTTTCTTCAAATATAAACTACTTCTGATGTCATATGACTGAGAAGAACGTGCCTTTCCGTCCATCGTCAACAAGTATTTTGATGACAAGAACGATATGCATCTTGATCAGGAGTTTGGCGACAGAGAATAGGCAGCAAAAGATAAACCCTTTCAGAACCACTCTAATACTACTCTGTTTTGTCCGAACTGCTTTTTAAAGTAATCTTAATCGGAACGAAACACTTGAGAGAGTTCTGCTGATGACGATAAATTTCGATTTCAGTATAGGTAGTATGAGGTGTGTTGCTATGTATATATATCACAAAAATATATCCTTTTCCAAGGTCCGTTTGTAAACGCTTAAATATATTTTTTTTAGAATTAATCACAAAAAATATTTTAAGGAAACGATTTATTTCTACTCACACTCAAAGGCTCGCTCACTATGATCACATTCATCCACCGCAACTAAAACAAGATCCGAAGTATCCGCCATCCTTTCAGTTTACCGCTTTCGAATTTCTCTGCCTCGCTGTGCACTTTTTCTCCTTCCTGGGCTATATGGCAGACAGACTAAGCGATCATTTCACTCTATAAACCAATTGCACGACTACAAACCGTCGGTCGCATCAACCAGCGCGGTTTTCGTTGGCGCGTGCCGGTTAGCGCGTTGCGTGAAACCCAATCGATGAAGCGCGCAGGTGCAAAACAATCTTTATTATTACTGCGGCCTTTGTTTTTATAATGTTTTGTTATTATGAATTTATAATTATGACATTATGGTGGACGTTTCTGCTAGGGATGTATTAGGGTTTCTAAGAGTTACAGTTTCATTCGTTTCACGTTTTGGCCATACAGTCGTCACGGTACGAACAACAGCCTTGATTCAATCGGCCTGTGTACATTAAAATGATATTGTTTGCTTCTGAATATGAACAGTATATTTTATCTCTTCACAGTTTCCTTGTACACTGATTGACATTTAAACATTGTTACGGTAGGATTAGGCAGTCACAGCAGAAAAGCCACGTGATGATATTCTAACTTATGTGAACGGCTTGATTAAAAACATATATTTGTACCTACTGTCAAGTAGAACAAAGAAAGGAACTCGCTCGACAATGAAATTGTTTTCACAATGCCATATCCTATGTTTCAATAAACGATAAATATTGATTACGTGAAAATCGGCACGATTTGATTCGCCCTGACACGCACCCGGGGGGGGGGGGTACTTTAGGAATTTCTGGGTGGGGATGTGCCGCTGGGAACCTGGAACCCTGAACCTTTACCAGAGCTAGTTCAGCTGAATTTTGCTACCCTATACTAGAGTAAAATCCCCAAATCCCCCTATCCTAGAGTAGCTGTGTACCTAGTCTAGATAAAATCTTCAACCAACTGATCAGTTTCCTGAAAAATGATACCCTATTCTAGAGCCAAACGCTCTGATTTATATACCCTATCCCAGAGTAAACTGCTTGAAAACCATACCCTTCACAGCGGCACATACCTATATGGCCCATATATGGCAGTACTCCCCCCGGGCACGCACCAGTCTGCTGCTCTCTGGGGCTATTATTAACAGATTAACGAATTTAATAACCAGCAAGATGAACTTTCAAACCGCAGTTTGAGCGAAACTGACAAGAGTTTCTGTCTACCGTGGAAAGGTGGAACTGAATAAACAGTAATTTCAATCGGAGTCTTCCCCAGGCCGACGAATTTTTTCAAATTCTTTCAAATAATTTACTTGCATCAAGTAACTGAATTCGTTGCCTTCTTGACAAGCGTCAACTTCAGTATGTCTAAATACTCACAGAAGCCTATAATATTTTGATAAGAATTCAGACGCTACTATTTCTTTATTCATTCGACTGTAGACTTCCCTTATCAATGATGTTAAGTGGGTATTGAATTTTTCAGACAGTGCTAATTGCTCATTGCAAAATAAACTCTCTTCGTTAAATTATCATACATTTTCGGAACTAAAATGATAGCCACTCACGAACACAAACTGACAAGGTCGACTAGCTCAATGTTCTCTATCTTTTCTATTACAATTCAGTAATTTTAATTTATTTATTTATTATTTTTTTTGGTAATAGTTCAAATACTTTCCCTGCATTTGAAATCATGACTCTTAGCAAAATCAGGTAAAGAAGCTTCAGTCTTTTTACATAGGATTTAGGACATTAAAACCACGCTGAGATTTTGTTAAATTAAGAGCGGCTACGGTGTATATCCAGGGCCCGCGGAGCGGATTTTCAAGTGGGGGGCTAATGCGAACGCGTTAGCGTGAGCCAAGTAGGGGGGTCCGGGGGGGGTCCGGGGGCATGCTCTCCCGGGAAAATTTGAAATTGAAGTCTTCTGAAATGGCTAGAAATGGATCTAAAACTGCCAAAATTGAAATTAATTTTTAATTCTTATAAAACAACGAGTAACAATCTGGCCTTCACGTTTGACCAAATTTAAATGAATAGACTAACTTCTAAGCTAAACCCAACAGACGTAACGGATGAGTGTCACCCGGACATTTTTGAGTCGGATTCTTTGAAGGTGCCAAAGTTGCTTTTTCGATTTTCATTGAGAGCTGCAAACTCATTGGCAACATCTATAAGACAAAGTTTGTCTGTTCTCTGCTTGTGGGTATTAAGTATTGTCAGATTGCTAAATCTTGTTTGTGTCATCGTCGAGCGTAGCCACGTTTTCAGTCTCCGAGCAGAAGAAAAGGATCTCTCGCCTGCTGCACTGGTTGCTGGATTTACAAGAAGAAGTTTACATCGGGTTATGATTTCAGTTATCATACACTTTTCGCGGGCTTCAGAAAGCTGCTTGATCTTGGCTAAAATGTCATCAAAACAGGTAAATTCTCCCTCCTTCATCAAAACCTTAAATATTTCCAGTTGAACATTCAATATTCTAACATCAACAGCCAAAAAAGTTGGGGGGGTAAAGCCCCCCCCAGCCCCACCCCCAGCGCGGTCCCTGGTGTCTTTCCCACGGACAAGCAGAAAACCGAAAACAGTGTTTTTCTCTTTCTTCTTTTTGCTGTTGATTTTTTCCAACTGGATGAGGGAGGGAGTAAGAGACAAGGGTATAGTCAAAACCAGTTAGTCTGCATCTTTATTGTAATAGCAGTTCAACCTTTCCTTAATAACCACTTGGGGACAGAAGAAAGTGACCGTTATCAAGAGGTGGCCGTTGTAGAGAGGCTTAAACAGGGAGCTTAAGCAGCGACGTTTTTGAGCGCCGCACGTCAACCGGAAGTGAGGTATTTTCCCTCTTAACATGCCTTGATGATATAAAATTTGTATTCCTTAGCTTCTTTACTGTTATAGAGGCGATTTGACAGAAAATTTGCGCGAAACCACCGTCAAAAAATGAAAAAAGGCCACTTCCGGTTGACGTGCGTCGCTCAAAAACGTTGTTGCTTAAGCTCCCTAACAAGAGTCAACACCGCGGCAAAACGCAATGCGCATGAGCACAAAATTTAATATCCGGTCAGCTTTTTATTTCCGGTCTAGTATATAAACCAATAGCGTAAGCATAACTTTGCCGTCGCGCCAAGTTTAAAAGCAAAAAGGGCGAAACAGACAAAAAAGGGGGCCAAAAAAATCACTTCATTCGAAAGCTTATATATTTTTCTATTCTCAAACTTTTGCACCACATGGTTATCTGTTTGCACCAACGGTGAAAATGATGTTTGAAGTTTGCAGGTCGCGAGCGCTCGACAAGACGAATTTGTTTTTACTGGCTTTCTTGCATGCTACTGGTTTGGCATAAGTTAATTTGGGAGAAGGCGACAACTAAGAAAAGAATAACAATACTTATGAAAGAAACCAAAATAAAGACGTCATCATTATCATAAAAAACACTAAAACCAGGAAATAAAATTTTAGTCCGTTCAATAATTTGTTTTATTATCAGAGAAAACAAGAACTCAAAACAAAAGATGGGCGGAATTTAACAACAACTTTGACTTTGATGACTGCAGTCACCGGGAAACTAAACATGCCTATAAATGACTTTCATTCAAGAAAATGCCTATTTAATTCTTTTACATGGTTGTTCTTTTGTTGAAGACTTCAATAATTTCAGACTGTGCGGCTCGGCTGCATCTCATGCAAACACGAAACTACTAGCTGCTAAATACATGGCATGAAAAGTTCGACTTCTAAAAGCCACTGAACCAGCTTTCGCTCTCTGATTCTGAGAATGGAAAAATAAATAAATAGAGTTGTCAACTTGCTGCCAACCGGCTCAACAGTATAATTAAGCTTATGTTTCATGGCAATCAACCCAGAAGAGTTTCGTTTTAAAACACGGTAAAACCCACTGGTAAACAAAACTACAAAGCGATTGCGTGTTGTCGTTTTCCAAATAAAGTTTGAATCGGCTTTAACACATGTAGACTGAGAAACTGAAGAACTAAAAATTAGAACTACAATACACAAGCTTGCAATGATAACGTTTTAATTTTATGTCTTAGTTTCAGCCAGGTTAAGTGAAAAATAACAGTCAAAAACTTTATTTTCGTGAATGAAAATCAGTTTACCTGACGCTCTAGCCAAATTACACACTGAGTTATTATCATCTTACCTTTTCTGAATCTAATCGACTAATTGTTTCAGTGATCTGTGCCTGGTTATCCATAAAAGCAATTTCAATAACTACAAAATAGTCAAAAACACGAGCAGCATAAAGCAGAACAACTGAACCACAAGCTGCACACAGAATGAAGCGCGCGGGAGACTTTGACTGGAAAGTGTGACTGAAAAAGAGACCGGAAATGCTCAATCTGGCGCATGCGTAGACGTTTTGCCGCGGTGTTACAAGAGTCAATATACGGACCAGTGCCGGATGCAGACCTTGAGATAAGAGAGGGGCGGTCATCCAGACCCTTACTAGTGAGTTTACGCAACAGGACGGCAGGAAGAAGAAGACGGTAGAACGCTCGTGTGTGACAAACGTGACAAGGCTATTTCTTACGTGTTTTGTCGTGATCTTCACTTAACATCAATGTTTTCTGGTCTTTTACAAAAAGATCTGTTTAAAGGATAGTGAATTTTGGCGAAACTTTATTTCAAACAAAATTATTGTCGCGCTTGTCACACAAGGTTTGCCCTCTTCTTTCCTCTCCCGTCCTGTTGCGTAAGTTCACTACTGATAAGGGGGGCGGTCTCCCAAAAAATATTTTCTGCCTTTCAAGCCTTAATTTGGTCCAAGAATAAGGGGGGGGGGCCAGAGCCCTCCGGACCCCTCCCCTGGATCCGCCACTGTGGACTGTCCGCCAAACAAAGTGGCCCTTGTAGAGAGGAAGCCTTTAGTGGAGGTTGGACTGTGTGAAAAATTATGGCACTAAAGTTTAAGTTGTTATTTGTAAGTTGTCGTCGGCGGACTATCAATCTTTGATAATACTAAAGTGCTCAACTCTGACGGGTTCTTAACAGCCGATATTTATACTGTTTAATTTTGCTATTGCAACTCCAAAACTGTGTGAGTTTACCTTATCGATTACCAGGAGCTTGTAACCAGTCAAATCGACATGTAGCAAATGATACAAGCCAATGAAATTTAACTACATAGCGATAATAACCAATAAAACTAGTCAAAAAAGATTAAAAGAGCGGCCTGTCCAGCCTCAGCTTGAAAAAAAAAAAAAAAAAAAACTAACTTCTATTTCATCAGTCTAACTTCAAATCTGCAAATCATCGGAACGCGAGGCACTCTACTATTTTCATGGCAAAAATGATCAAACCACACAAGTAAATAAAACCTTTTTTCTGCTTGTTCAAATCTTACTTGAAAATCTTCGGTCTAACTGATCAAACCTGCAGCGTTGGTAAGCGCCATTTAATTATTACTCCAAAATAGTTATTTTGATCCTAGGTTCTCACATAGAAAGACCTCTCAGTTAACTTCAAGTCGAGCAATTTCTTCGCTGGCTTTTTGCTTTGCGTTATGTTGAAAAGTTTAAACTAAAGACTCAAAAAAATACACTCGTTGAAACCAGAAAAGAAGAGACGCCGCACTCATTTTTGTTTTCTTTCGAGTAAAGTCACTTTTTTGATAATTGGAACGAGCGCGTGCAAAAGAATAAAACTACCGTCACAATTTACCATAGCAACCAATTGTTTGCCATGGAAACCGGTAGTTGCAAAAGGATTTGTCTTTTTATGCAGAGTGAAACTTTTTTTCAAAGCGTACTTGTTGGAAAAACTTACCAATAAATCAACAATGACGAAAGAAAACAATGTGGATCAAGAGGGGCGGTCGAACAAACGTCCTCGTTTAGCGGAAGCGAAAATCTCTGCCCACATAAAAAATGTTGTGGACTCAAGAATGGGAAAGAGTGAAACAGTTAAAAAGGTAAGCTGGATGACAAAAACAAAAAATTCCCTTAATTCTATATGGTCTATATAGTAAGTTTTAAATTATTGTACGCGGTATAGTCAACTTATAAAAGCTTCAAGAATGAAATAAAGTAGAGAGGACCGTTGATTAGCAAATTTTCGCTCATTTAATTAGGATCGACAAATGGCACTTATATTCCCTGTTATGAATTCGATTAAAAAGACAGAGCAATTATATATAGATATCAGTATAATTGTCGAGTTATATTCAGGATTACAAGGATGGAATTATATTAAAGCTCGCTACATTAAAATGCCACTTGACCGGCCCAAACTTAAGCTCGAAATTATAGTTTTGTGAACGTAACTTTTTTTGAGTTCATATTCATATGATTTCGTTTGCATACCTCACATGTTAGTCTCCTTCCTCTTGCAAGATCATAACAAGTGACATCCCTCTAACCACATTCTGTAAAGTTTTTTTTTATATATAAGCCTAAGAAAGAGATCCTTTTAAGACGCAGCGAAATCAGTCAACAGAGGAAATTTTCGAAAAGTCTGAAAACTTACCACGTCTCCTCCGTCATATACTTTTGTCGTTCATTTCCTCTCTCAGGATGTGAAATGATATGTCCAAAAGACACTCTCTCGTTTTGTGTTTTCAACACAAAGAAAGACAGGAAAGACCAAGAAAGGTACATTTTAAAAAATGGCGGACGACCAGCACTTGAGCTCGACACGTCAATCAATAACGCTCTCCCCAGGTCCCGGATTGGTATTTTTATGGATACTAAATTTAATGCAGGGTAAACGTGAAATATTTATTGCATTCTTCTTGGTTCTTTCTTATTTTAGGAAATAAATGGGATTAACAAAAGCAGCAAGGACCAAGCTGACCTTTTCCCGATATCGATGTCGAATTTGTCGAATTCTTCCTCCCAAGAACAAGAAGAGATCAAACCGGAAATTGTGAACAACATCAACTCGCAAGGTACGTAAATGAAAAATGAAAGCAGGTCGTGATCGACTACACTTAGGGACATTAGAACTCAGACCTGTCCGGGTGTCTGATTAACTCCCGGTAATATAGCGATGTTTTCAGACAACCCATATCATAAAATTTCGCGAGGGGAGGCATCTGTAGTAGACAAGCATCCCATTCGAAGGAAGAAGCCGTAATATCAAGCAGGTCCTGACGACAGAAATCGACTTTAGCTCTGGCCACATGGGTCTCTTTTGCGGGTGTGTTTAGTAATATCCTTTACATGGTCAAATTAATAAATAAATAAATAACCGAATCAATTTTAATTCCAACGTTTTTATGGTCTTTCTAAGGGAGAATGATACGCGACATCATTTTAAGAAAAGTTTTATGGCCTTGTCTAAAAAGAATGACACGAAACAAACTGGTAGATTTTAAAGTCAACCTTTTTAAAATGTATAAAACGTACCAGGCAACCAAACTGGCAGTATTTGAGCTAAAAATGTTGTTATTCATAATGATGACAGAAGAGTTGAACTGGGAACTACCACCAGAGTTCCGAGGGATACTCGAACACTAGACCTTCTAATTCCGATTCCTAGGCCCTGCCTCATTTCTTCGCGTACTACAAAATGAAACCAAATCACGGGAGCCAGCACATACCACTGATAAATTACTCTCACCGACAAGGGAAACACTTGTCCCAGTTGACTCTCTGCACGTGAAGTTTACGCCCGTACTTAGCCTGGGTTTCTAGTTTCTAATTTGTGTGATCTGCAGATAATGTTGATCATTACCATATGGAATATGAGCTTGGCGAAGGTGGATTTGGTCGAGTCATTGCTGCCACACGAAAGGCTGACAATGTGCCGGTAAGAAATGGATAAAAATAGATGATATGATTTGTGAGCAAGTCACTGATAAGAACTGCAAAATCACCCAAATTTCAATAAACGTAGAAAGTAATATATTGTTCTGTATGTTGAATTGTAAATTCGGTAGCTCTCTCAAAAGAACACGGTATCTCATTCCAGAGTTTTGTGCCTATTCTTGAAAAAAGAATTTCTGTGTATTTCAAGCCTTGATCGTTTTATGCAAAACATTTTTGAGGCAGCGGAGTGAGTGTTGTATGAATGGATGCTAGCTTTAGCTATACTATAAAGTTAATGAATAAGTATAGAATGCATTTTATTTGTCTAGAAAATGGTACATTAAATTCAAAAAGGCCATAAGCCAGGATATCAATAAAATGATGTACAGATACTGTGTGGATTTACTATCAAAAAATACTGACATTGGATTGTTTGTTGAATTTCAGGTGGCCATTAAATTTGTTGATAAACGCTCCGTAAATGACTTTAAAGAGGTTAGTAAATCAACAAAGGTCTTCTCTAACGAAACATATCATTTCTGTCATTCGTGTGCTGATATAACTTTCCGCGCCATGTAAGCAAGAATAAAACATTATATTTAATACTCATGATCTCGTTCAAAATAACTATAGTGAAATAAATGTTTGCAGTCCATCCTTTTCTCATTTTTCCTTTAAGGTGAATGGTGAAAAAATTCCAGCTGAGGTTTATTGGATGATCAAAGTTCAGCATCGTCATGTGATTAAGATTTACGATTTCTTTTCAACGGGCAACTATTACGCTTATGTCATGGAAAGGCCAGGAAACTGTCAGGATTTGGGTAGTATTTTATTCGATAGAACAATGACAGAGAAAGAAGCGCGGAGGTATTTCTCCCAGATCATTGAAGCAAACATCAAATGCGAAGAAAATGGATTTATTCACCGCGATCTTAAACCAGAAAATGTCCTGGTTGATTTGGATGCTGATGAAGTCAAACTAATCGACTTTGGTCTGGCGTCAGAGATACAATATGAACCTTATACTGTGTTTAGAGGTAGGCAACGTGTTAGAGGCTAAAAAGACGAAGTTACTCACTACATATTTACTTTTGTTTTGTTAGTCAGTCATTTAGGTAGTTTTGATTAGATATTTACTTATTTAGTTAGTAAGTTAGTTTGATTGTTTGTCTGCTTCTGTTTTTGTCCCTGCTTTTTTAGTATATGACAGTAAAATAGAAGTAGCATACTTTTAGTACCCGGCTATGGAAAAAAAAACGCTTTGGTCAAACCAATTTTTGACTTAAATGGCTATTGTTTTAAACGTTTCAGGTACCAGGGTTTATATGGCGCCGGAATATTTTAGATTTGGATGGTATGATGGTTGCCAGGCTACTGTCTGGGCTTTGGGGATGATCTTAGTGGACATGCTTTCTCCATATATGGCATTCAGTAAGCCCGAACAGGCCTATAGCAGGTCTCCCAGAATCCCACATCATCTATCACCAGGTAATGTAGTTACTTTATTTAACAAGCGTGAGGAAAAAAATCAAAGTATTAAATTTTTAATCAGAGCTCCTTATAGGATACTAGCCTAAGACGTCCTGTTGCATTTGAGGCTTCTGAAAGTTTTACAGTTACATATCAATCTTTATTCTTTATTTTTTTTGACAGAGGCCAAGAATTTGATCAGTTCATTGCTGAATGTTGTACCAATGAATCGACCAACACTGCGACAAATATCAAACCATCCTTGGTTTACTATGCAAGGTTGGTAAACAATAGCTACTGCACTGTTTTTGACTCGCACGATCATGCCAGAAGAGCTTATTCCGGCCCTTTTGCCCAAGGCGGTGCCTGTAGAATTTCATAACCTCTTTAGAATCGTGAAACCCGCACAAGGCCTTGCTCACAAGCGTTTCTGCGAAAAATTGCTCCAAGCTGATAGGCTCTCGTTAAATTGTGTTTTTATATTTTATATTATTGATTTCTTTGTAAAGATTTTAGTCTCTAAAAAGTCCCTTGTATTTTTCTCAGGTTCAACAGAAACCTTTTGTTCAAACGTCCTTACGTAAGTTTATATAATGTTAAACATGTATATCGCGTACGCGGCGTATTTCTTAATTGGATCCGTAAATACCTTTTAGAGCCTGTAGTAAACAGCAAAGTTATCTCAAATAAAATCTCTAGCAACTAAGGCAGCGCAAGGAGACTGGGATGACTGGCTATCGGCCATTGAAAATACTAGTCATTTCCACCCCAATGAATCAGCTGAGTCGAGTTTGCAAGATTTTTTTGCTTGTAATCAATTTTATTATTAAAAAGCAGGCTATCGTCAGCACCAATACATACTGCTTACCACTAAATACGATTTGTTTTCTGATCTTTAGCAAGAAAAAATCTTGTGATAAAGAAAATGAACTTTCCTGGGTGACTTTGTGCGGCCTGCAGAGTTTGTCTTTGACAAAAGAAGAAGAAACCGACCGAGCGGAATTGATCACCAAACATTACTCGCACAGTAAGTGCCTTTCATTTCCTTGTTTCGTCCTAAATCTCTCGGTGACGAAATTCTAGACGAAACATGAAATATGGCTGCTCTGCTCCAATAAATCAACTGATTCTCTAAGGCTGTTTGAAAGCCCTCTGGTTCAATTCCTTTAACTTCCAAAACAACAGAAAACTTCCTTTTTTTATTTCATTCCGTTAATGCTGTCCATTGTCATTGGTCAGCAACTCTATCAATGAAAATTCCAATTTAATAATCAATGAGGCAATTATCAATTTGATCGATAAAAATTTACAGTCGTTGAAGTCCAGTACACCTACACCTTAGTCGATTATGAAGGTTTGCCAAAGTTCAGGACAATGAGGTGGATAGCATATCACCCAACTTCAAATTGTCAGAGAACTTATGAGAGCAATTTCCTATCATATAAGTTCATCTATGGCCATTTTCAAACAACCACTCAAACATAAAAGCCAACTCAGCTTGCTGTTTTCTTACCCTGACTAACCGTCTTTGCTATTCAGGTTCATCTGAGTCAGCTTCCAGTTCGGACTGCAGCACCACAGCCTTCAATGCCAACTCTTCCAGGTAGGCAAAGCGAGATAATGGCTTCTCCTTAATTAAATCAAGCACCAATTTAAAAAAAAACAGTTTTGGAAAATAAATAAATGTATTCTTGCTCCGGCCTATTTGTATCTTTGAAAAATCAGTGGACTGAGTACATGAACTGAAGCCAGTAAAACCCAAAGCCTAACCCTAACCCTAACCCTAACCTAACCCTAAACCCTAACCCTAACCCCTAACCCTATCCACCCTATCCACCCTAACCCTGTCACAACCTCAGTCCGGGTATGAATCTGAAAACTTGAGAGCGCTCGTCTGTGCCCATAAACCGTCGACTCGGAGTCGGGTTCCATTGTTCTTTTGTTTCTCCAGTTTCTGCTGTTTTCCATAACCAAACCACGAAACAGAAAACGACACGAAAGAGTAATAAAACCATCGGTTCCAAACCCTTGTTAGCGTTTTGCTGACACCCACCCATCTTAGCCGAACGCTGAGTGATTGGTCTAGGAAAGTCTGCTTCATCGATTAGACTTCCGTCCAGCAAATGCCGACACCAGTATTAATAAGTAAATCAATGAATAAAACACATTTAAAATAATCTATAAGAAAAGATAAAGTGGATAGAGAATGAAAGAAAAGGTACCTTTTACGAGAAAGGTATTTCTTTCTTGTTTTCAGAGATTCTAAGGGAAGCCACTCTTTTGAATCGTCAAGTTCATCGGCGCGGATATCTTCAGAAGTAGAGCCGTCTGAATCATTTGCGGAGATTCGAAACACAAGCAAGTTAACGGCGGTGAATGAGGATATTCAAGAAACCGACTGTGACATTTTTCAGCCCCTGGTTGTTTTGTGTGTAATGTGGTATTGTGGTTACCAGGCCACTGTCTGGGCTTTGGTTATGATTGTATTGGACTTGACGTCCCCATATATGGCGTTAAGTAAGCCCAAGCAGGTCCATGAACGGGCCCCCCGAATCTCGAGACTTCTTTCACCAGGTAATACTAATAGAAACCAACCCTTATCTCAATACTCTGTCCCTGAAGACATTTCTTCCACCACCGAAGAGGAAATTCGCCCTCTATCGAGGCGCAGTCAATGGCATACTTTCGAAAGGAACATAATGTCTTAAACTAGCCAAGCCTAAAAGAGGAGCCGCCGCATTATAATCAATCTTCGTTCCAAATCTAAGCTGAGGTCTAATTGCTGGACATCATCACATTATCAACACGTTTTGCCCTTACGTGGTTTTCAGCACTTCTTGATCACGTGATGAACTGACTACGGAACTGTCAGGATTCGGATTTATATACAACTGCAGCTGATAAAAATGCAATTCACGATGAAGCTATCGTAATCTTGACTTTAATTTTCGTAACCTGCAGTCTGTTTAACAGATTTAAACTGAGCTTTCTTAATAATGGTTAAAATGGTTATACTTTGAAAATGTAAACTGAAAATGTCAGGGGAATCTTTTCTGATTCGCTTCATCGACCCAAAGAAATTGAGAAATTACTTGAAGAACCACACAAAAAGCCTCAGTCCCGATGTTCCTGACCTTGATTATTCCTGAATTATTTTTAAACGTTTTAAGACTATGAAAATGGAAAAAACAGGGAATCTTTCTGTGGCTTCTCGGTATTGGTCCCGATGTTCCTGGCAAATTATTTCAAACGTTTTAAGGCTATGAGGCTGGTTGTGATGTTGTCAAGCATGCTCTGATTTGGCGTATTTGTAGAAATTGTTAATTTATAACAAGCCCCTTTATTTTAATTTTTTGGTAGGTTCCGCAGAAGACCCTTCGTCAAATTCCTTTGACATGTAAGTTGTTTGCTTAACATTCGTCACGTACTTACTTGGTGATTGGATCCGAAAATAGTCTTAGAACCTCTGTCAAATAGCAAATCTAATGAAGTCCTAGCTACTCAAGTGCCTATTGTAAAGGGGAAAAGTCGTTCGCCATACCCTTTCTTGAGCCCACTGTATCCGTTGAGGCAATTGTTTTAGATTTCAGGTTAACTAAGATGCGGGAAAGCGTCCTATTTTAGTAAATGCCGTCTTTGTCCATTTCTTTCCTAAACGTGCGGGATACATAGTGCTTTCCAGCACTGAAATACGATTTGTTTCCTGATCTTTAGCAAGGACAAATCCTATGATGAAGAACGTGAGCTGCCCTCGGCGACGTCGAATTGCTTGAGTTCACTGGCTCTTACGGAAGACCGAGAAGAATTGATATCTACTGAACATTGCTCGTACAGTAAGTGTCTTTTATCGTGGCTCTAAACACCTATGCAACGGTATAAGATGTAAGGATGCATACATCAACATCCACTAAGCGTTTTAGAAACCCTCTTTGTCTTCTTGGGTTCAGCTTTAATGTTCTTTAATCAAAAGAAAAATTTTTCTACTTGTTTCTAATAAGGGTGCGTTTGATCGTACTCTGGAATAAGAATACGCAAAAGTTTCGTTACAAATCTCTTCTATCGTGATTTTTGGAGAATTTAAACTTCATATACAGAGAAATATTTTATTAAGCAGTTTCATCGTAAACATGATGGTCATACAATAATATTCTTATTCTGGAAAAAGGTCAATGGAACAAGCCCTAAGTGTCTTAAAGTACTAGCGATTCCAACTGAAACCAACGGGTTGCATGACTTTGTAGTCTATCGAGAAAACTTGCCGCCATATACTTGGTGTTCAGTTGCTGAGAAATTGTCATTCAGTTTTAGGAGAAACTTCACGAGGATTGAAACTGTTACTTAAGATAGCCACTTTCTAAAGTTAGGAAATCTGTTCAGTATGTTCAATCACTGAGAAGAGAAACTTGGCAGCGAACCTCGCGCGCCCAAGCAACGGAAGCGAGCTCTAGTGTTTAGGTGTTAGCCGTCTACGTCACCTACTAGACAAAGCCCGCTGGCAGCTTGAGAACAACGTGTCAAGGTAGAAACTCACCCGCTTAAGAGATGCAAACCATAAATAGCATATAAATATTCTCACTGCATACACAATTGGCCCGTTACGCAGTAAATAAGAAACTCCTTAAAATTCCGTCGTGTTGGGCCTGCGCCCTTTGGGCATGATGCATTGCGGCCCTTACTTAGAATTACTCTGTTTTTGCCGTCCTCTTGCCGGGCCAGTTCAACGGACTTCAGTGGAAGTGACTTCAAAGTTTCGCCTCTTCCAGCTCCCCTGGTGGCGCGGTTGAAAGAATAAAATTGTTGTTGTTGTTTCAATGGAAAGGGAATTTACTTTTTTAAAAAACTTTTGTGGCATCTTCTTTAGGAGATCTTGAAAGAAAAGCTGTATTATAAATTAGGAATCCTGTTTTGATTGAATGGGTTTTTTAATAGGTGTATCGGATAGCAGAGTTCATTTATCTGAGGTGGAAAAGTTAAGATTTGGATCGTATGATGGCTGCCAGGCCACGGTCTGTTCGTTAGGGATGATCTTAGTGGAATCGCGCTCTCCAAGCTTATTATCCAGTAGGACATATACGGTGTTCAGTAAGCCAGAGAAGGCCTTTAAACGGCCACGCAGAATCCCAGAACATCTTCCTCCAGGTAATGTTATAATAATCGTCTAAATTTTATTTACCAAATTAAGAGGTCTAAGACCTTTAGTAGGCGATATCATTTCAAACACTGTCCAGTTTCAAAAGCAACTTTAATCCTAAAATTAAAATTTTTGTTATTCAGGGTCTTCAAGGTGTTGCAATTTGGATCTTTATTTGTCACCCTCCGGTGTAACTCTTACCAGGTAAGCAAAGAAACCGACACTGAAGATAACAGTAGTATGAATGTTTGATGGGCACCATGAGAAGTCTTTTTGACATCCTGATTCTTCCCATGCCTCTCTTTTCAATGACAAAATTTTCCAAGGATCTTAGAATAGATAATAAGAACCCGTTCAGTAGGGGTATTAAAATGAATGGTGCATCACAAGAGGCCTCTGGGTAATTTCTATACAAGTTACAGATTCTTAACTGTTATTTCCAGGACTAAAAAGCCATTAAGTACCTTTTCCCAGACATACGTTCTTTTTATTTTCAACAGGAACAAAGTAAAGGCCACAGAAAAGCTATCAGCTCCAATCAGAAAGAATGGCTTGGAGTATGAGGAAAGGTTTCAAGTTGAACGCGAAAGGAGATTTCTTGCTGTTATTTTTGTCATTCTGTTGTCACGTATCACAATAAAGAATTTACCGACATTTACTTGTCTGCTTGATTACTGTCGCATGCACAAACACCAAACACACCAAATCTCTCATTAACCTGCATTAAAAGAGCGCGCACAACAGAGAGTATGGGGCGTCACTGGCTGCCCATGAGACGGCGGACAGTGTTGTGTCGAATTGCAACAATGCATCCTTCCCAAGAAACATCGCGGTCCGCTCAAGTTAAGGAAGATATGCAGACCCAGTGCAGATTAGAGCGCGGGGCAAAGAGAAGAAAAAGGGTAGTTAAAAAAATTAATTTTAAGTCTTCCAGACACGACGGTTATCTTGCCTTTTCCAACTACTTTAAGAGAAACCTGCTTATACGGGACACCCTGTAACTTGCCTTAGCAAGTCTATAGTTTTATTCAACCATATTTGTATACACCAATCCGTATCATCAGGAGCCCATCAAATGGAGCCTCCATCTCCCATACAAGCCCTTGGAGTCAACCCTTTCCCGAGTAGATTTATAATTAGAACGGTTCCCAGGGGAGATTTCGCGCGCCGACGGTGGGAAGAGCCAATCACAACGACTAAATGACACTGCTATTGTACTTCATGAAACAGCTGGAAATCCGGTGCTGACAGGCCAAACAAAATCATAAGCTAGTGAAACGTGACATTAGCGTTTTCATCCCTCAGAGATTTTCTTTCTTTTCTTTCTAGCGGGTAGATTATACTGTGGAGAGTTTTAAACTCTGACTATGTTAATCTTAATTTTGGTTGCTTGTCTCACATTAATTTATAAGAGGCCGTGAAGCTGGTCTGTTACATGCGTAATGATTAACTACTACCTGCAGTCTGTAGTTCTGACAGGATTCGTTTTCTTTAGCCAATTTTTTTGAGCGTTAAGGTTCTTATTTCGGCTAAATGACTCAATATTAATCAAATTTCTAGTTTTTCAAGTTTTTCTCCGAAATGCGTTTGTCTGAATAAATACTATACTGTGGTTGTTTTGTCCGTCAGTTAGTGTGATGATTCCCTGCTATGTTTTGTAACGCCGAGCCCAGCCATTGTTTTCTCGCAAAAAAGTGATCTACAGATACGAATTCGAAGGAAAGAATTGGCCTAAACTTCTACATTAATTGCTGAGAATTCTTCTGTTAGTCAGTCATAGTTCTTTGGGCGCAGATACAATCCATTTTGTTTTTCTTGAGATAAGTGGGTCTTTGGACTGGAGTGCGATGTCACAAATTCCACCGTTAGCAAATTACTTTTGAGTTAGCTTCACAGTCGAGCAACTGTTGTCTTCTATACCTGCCAACTCT